CCAAAAAAGCTTATCACATATTGTAGGTGGCTGGTAGGGTCAAATACATAGGGAGAAAAAAGGGAACAAGTTGAAGATCACTCAACAACAAGATCCGATTCAAGAATCAAGTCTACGGCGAAATCTACTAAAAGAGTCTCCTTTCCCTTCAACTTGTGTTCATGGATTCAATTGTTTTCCTTTTGGGTTTAATTCGAATGTGAGTGGCTAAGCACCCTTTGTGGGTTTGGTCACTGAAGTACATGGATTTTATTAATTGATCGTTGAACTTTATGGTGAATTTGAGTTACCAATTCAATTGCTTAAATCTTCCTAACTTTTATCTTTATCAAATAGCTACTAGTGCTCATGAAATTTTGCATATCTAGGAATAGAATGATTGGTTTAGATCAGGTTGAATTGGGCCATGGCTGAAGCGTAAAAGTTTAAGGTTTCTTGCCGGATAGGAATATACCTGCAAGACATGGTTGGTCTTATCAGTTACCCAGTGTTAATGACTCTACATTTTTGCATAACCATAGGACTGTATGTTGTTTTAGATTGTAGAGATACCCTCTCGACTTTGGAAGAAGCTTGAGGATATCATAGGAGAAACATCCATGATTTTGTCACCAATGTAAGTTTAATGAAGTGGAAATTGTGATCGAATTCCCCCTTGCCTAAGATATTGATTTCAACCTTCTAAGCACTCCCTTATAGTTTACAGCATTTATTAAATCTCTTATGGCACTACAAATCAATCTCTTTTATTTGGTAACCTGCACTATGTGAGAATTAAAGTTAGCATATTAGTTAGTCTATAAATTCCTCGTGGGATTGACACCCCTTGCTGCTACTGCAGCTGCAGCTCGTAATCTTACGAGTATAAGGGGCTATTTTTCACTCATCAAGCTCCACTCAACACTGTCATATGCTTTCCTGATTTCAATCTTCTTTAAGCACCTTTCTATTATCTTTTCCCTTCTATAAAGCCTTATCAATTCCTGAACTATAAGGACAATGTGGAGTATCAGTCTTTTACTCACAAATGCACTTTGGTTCTCATCAATAAGGTTTGCCAATACATCCTTCATTCTTTCACACAGCATCTTGGAGATAACCTTATAGAGCACATTGCAGCAGACAATAGGTCTCTATTCCCCTGCATTCTTTGGAGCATCAGTTTTCGGTATAAGGGCCAAGATTGTAGCATTCACTTGTTTCAACATTTCCCTTGATTCAAAGGATTCTTCACTGCACTGATTACCTCCTTTCTTGTGATCTCTCGGGTAGATTAAGAACCCACTACCATATATACCCATCATGACCTAGACTTTTGTTGCGGCTAATAACCCACATTGCTCCATTTACTTCATTTGTTGTAATTGGTCTGATCAGGCTTAGCTGTGCTCTACTGTTAATCTGTGACCATGTTAAAACACCTTTCTTTCCCTTGAACTTCTCTATGAGGCTTGTCACAGTTGCTGCTAAAATAAATTTTGAAAGTGTTTTAAAACTTCTTTCCATTCAGTTGCCGGGCTTCCATCAGGTTTCATATATGACCGAATCCTATTCTTCATCACCCTTTGCTTTATCATTGCATAAAAAATATATGTGTTTGCATCTCCAAAGTGAACCCAGTCTTATTTTACTTTTTGAGTCAAATAACTCCCTAGGTCTTCCGACAACTGGAAATATTTCTAGCTATATTCCTTTTCTTTTATTTGCAGCTGCTTATCATCTGGGAATAAGCATGTTTTGTGTATCCCTCAGTTTATTGCAGGCCTCTTGAATCCTATTCTGGATTCCTGAGAAGCTATTCTTGTTTAATCTCCTCAAACCCCTTTCAATCGTTTTAACTTTTGAACCATTTTGTACATTTTTGTTCCACTGATACACTCTTAGCTATCATGTGCCAAGACTGAGAATGAAAGATGTAATCGCCACATGTTGAAGTACTTGAAGGGTTTGTTGTTGTATTCTTACATCAGTTTGGATGATGAATGGAGTGCGGCCTGAGACTCTTTCGAATAGCACTGTTGCGATAGAATTCTCAAACTGCATCAACCACTTATCATTCACCAAGAATTGATCTTTTCTTAGCTGTTGCTCTATCTGTGACCATGTTAAAACACCTTTCTTTCACTTTAACTTCTCTATGAGGCTTGTCACAGTTGCTGCTGGAATAAATTTTGAAAGTGCTTTAAAACGTCTTTCCATTCAGTTACCAGGCTTCCATCAGGTTTCATATATGACCAAATCCTATTCTTCACCACCATTTGATTTTATCTTTGCATGAAAAAAAAAATATATATATATATATATATATGTGTTTGCATCTCCGAAATGAATCCAGTCTTATTTTCCTTTTTGAGTCAAGTAACTCCCTAGGGCTTTCAACAAGTGGAAATATTTCTAGCTATGTTCCTTTTATTCTATTTGTAGCTGCTTATCATCTGGGAATAACTATAGCATGTTTTGTGTATCCCTCAGTTTATTGCAGGCCTCTTGAATCTATCCTGGATTCGAAATTATTCTTGTTTAATCTCCTCAAATCCCCTTTCAACCTTCTTAACATTTAAACCATTTTGTACATTTCTGTTCCACTGATACACTCCTAACTATCATGTGCCAGGCCTGAGAATGAAGCATGTAATCTCCACATGTTGAAGTACTTGAAGGGTTTGGGTGGCTGTTGTATTCTTACATCAGTTTGGATGATGAACGGAGTGTGGCCTGAGACTCTTTCGGGTAGCACTGTTGCGATAGAATTCTCAAACTGCATCAACCACTTATCATTCACCAAGACTTGATCTATTCTTAGTTGTTGCTCTACTGATTATCTGTGACCATGTTAAAGCACCTTTCTTTCACTTTGACTTCTCTATAAGGCTTATCACAGTTGCTGCTGGAATAAATTTTGAAAGTGTTTTAAAACTTCTTTCCATTCAGTTAACGGGCATCCATCAGGTTTCATATATGACCAAATCCTCTTCTTCACCACCTTTTGCTTCATCTTTGCATGAAAAATATATGTGTTTGCATCTCCCAAGTGAATCCAGTATTATTTTACTTTTTGAGTCGAATAACTCCCTAGGGCTTTTGACAACTGGAAATATTTCTAGCTATGTTCCTTTCTTCTATATCATCTGGGAATAACTATAGCATGTTTTGTGTATCCCTCAGTTTAATGCAGGCCTCTTGAACCATATCCTGGATTCTTGAGAAACTATTCTTGTTTAATCTCCTCAAATCCCCTTTCAACCTTTTTAACTTTTGAACCATTTTGTACATTTCTGTTCCACTGATACACTCCCAGCTATCATATGCCAAGTTACCAATATTTAAGTACTTTGTGGTGTTTTTGCTACTAATGTTATCGGATCTTTAGTCATCTTCCTACCATTCTGCTTCTCCTTGGCCATGGCCCGGTTATGTCATTCGAAAATGGTGTATCACCTAGTTTTCATTAGATCTTATAAATATAATAATTTAAGGTGCTTGTAATGCATTCTCTCAATTAGTCTGATTAAAAATAAGACCAAAAGGAGTATTTTAAAAGAGTGTTTGTTTCTCTTTTCATGGAAAAGAAATACAAATAATGATAAAAGGTTACATATTAAAATTATTGACTTAGCCTGTAAGTATATCGTATGGATTTTAACATCCAATATTCTTGTTAGTTCCACTCACTCGGATAGTATAAATATGTCGAAAGACCCAAAAGAAAAAGTAGTCCATCAAAACCAAAAAAATTTTGGAGCATAAATAGTTTGAGTAAGAAGTATACAGAGAAATCTCCTCAATTAGCCAGTCCTTTCTTATAAACTAATTTCTCGGTTTAAGAAAAATAGTTTGCATTGTAAAATGAAAATTGTCCTCTGACTCATAATTATTATCCAGTTTCGATTTTCATTTTGAGTTCATTTTGTACGAACAGTGAAAATCCAAAACTTGACAATTTGGAATGGAGGGAGTACTATACTTAATACAATTCATAATTTATAATATGAACTCATTTTTTTGGAAAGAGGGAAGACATAAATCATGCATGTAAAAAAAATTGTAGTTTATTCTCCTCTTCGTAGACCGCATTTGTATAAAAGTTTGATTGCATCTGAAAAATACTATCTATACCTTTTTTCTATGTCATATTTAGTTATTTTCTATTTCCAATGCAACATTAAAGTACAAATTTTTTAAATTTACCATTATCTCTCTAATTTTAATGACATATATTAATAACGACTACCTATTTTCTACTTCAGTTTTAAATTGTTACATAATCCCAATACCTGTTTATTAAGGTCAAAAAGTATTATACTTAAAAATTAAATTCTTAAAAATTAAATTTTCAGTCATTGTTTCTCTACTACATGTGCATACAGGATATGATAGACAAAAAAAAAAAAAACGAGATAGTATGCATTAGGAATGTCTTAAACAAAGGAAAAAAAAATGATATGAGGCGGAATTTATTTATTTTTAATTTATTTTATTTTATTTTTGTAAGGGGATGAGAGCGCCTAAAAATATTGTAGCAGAGGAAGTAGGGGTCAAAATTGTACTCCATCCGTCCCAGAAAAATAGTCCAGTTAGAAAATGTACAACTTTTTTAATTTGGTCAACACACCAAATGTACAACTTAATTTATGCCCCTAACTTCCACTTCGGCCCCTTCTAGTTATTTTTATAACATTTAACTACATATGCATTTTTTTACAACTTAAATTTAATCAAAATTTTTATCCCAAAAAATATTGATAATAGATTTTGATGGAAAGATCTCGTTACGTAGATTAATTTGATTATACTACATTTTTTAATTATTCATGTATTAAAAGATATAGTCCCTTCGTCCCATAATTATTGTCCAGTTTGCCCAAAAAATTTTATCCGATTTGACTTTTTATGGTTTAAATGACGCATATACCCTTAGTAAAAACCATACATATTTCTTCAGCGAAAACGGGCGCTACTCTCAAGTGGCTTTGATCAAATTCTATGTTTCTCACCCTAAGAAAAATCACCACCGTGCCATTTCGCTTTCCTCCTTATTCCTCCGCCTAAAGCCTCCCTCTTCCGCCACCTCTTGCTTCGCCCATCCGCGTTACCTTTCTTCCGCCACCATCACCAATAATCAACCAGCACCTGCTACTCCGACCAGCCAGCCGAAGAGGCTGGGCCAACCAAAGGGCTCCACTAAATCCAAAGCCGACGCCGAGCGTGAGTTCGCCGCTGATACTCCCGGTATTCCCAGGATGAGAGGCTCAACCAGAATCCGACCCAGAATCTCACAAACATCATCTAGTCATTCCTCCGATTAACGATTCCTAGCATAAAATTTTCATTTAATTATCAGTTTTTTTATTTGAATTTGGGGGTTTGATTTCCTTGTTTTGTAGTTATGATTAAACAGGGGTTGAAGATGGAGAACCCACTCCAGCTGGGCGGACTGAAAGAGTTGTTGTTCTTGCACATGAATTTGACCTTTGAGTTTGGAACTTTGTGAAAAAAGAAAATTCAGGCGTCCTGATAGCAATCTCGTAGATGAAGCAAATTTAGTTAATGCAACCATCAAACAAGAAAGTACGAAGATAATTTGTCTATCCCGTCAAACTCAAAAGAGTGCAGAAAATTCACAGTAAGACGATCGTTTATTTAAGGATTTCTATCTCTTTAACTCAAACCAAGCAAAGAACACATAATCTATGAAAGATTCGAATTAAACAACAACTCACACTAAGAATAGTAAGGACACCATTCAATATACTCGATCAGTCATCATTCAATAAACTCAAGAAAGGTAGGAGCAAACAATACTCAACTATTAAGGAATACTATTGATTAGTAATCTCCATTACCAACAAAGATATGCAACACATACAATATCTCAAAATGCTTATGCCAAAGCACAACCCATCCAACAAAAATAGGGCAAACCCCACAAAGGAACTCATGAACACACACATCATAAACTCAAAAACCATAGCCAAAAGAAAGGCTCAACTCTCGAACTACTAAAAGTAGTATGAAAATAAGAAGTTTAGTTTTAAAACAATTCTATCAAGAAGCATACTTGAAAAACCACGGTTTCTGCAAGATCAAAATATCTAAGACAAGATGAAACCCTCTTGGTTAAATCATACTTGACAAATGAAAAATGGACACACCATTTAACAAAATTTCCTCAGAGGAAAAACTCTCATTAGAGAAGACTCAAAATGACCACACACGGGTGCTTTAACTTTCGGCCATACTCCCCCTATTTATAGGCTAGCAATTTCAGCCATAAGCACAAAAAAAAAGACCAACTATGACTCTCTAATCTTATCTCACGCAGGAGTAGAGTTAGAAGAGTATTTGATATCTTTGACTCTATCTAAAATCTAGGAAACCTTATCCAAATAACTTATCCTCAAATAGAATAATACTTAGAAGGAATCTAAGACTCCTAATCAAAACACTCTAGCTTAATTCAGTCCACATGACTTATTTAACTAGTTAAAATTCGAAAAACTCCTAGACTAGATAATACCCTAAATCCGAAATTCAGTTCCAAATGTTGAAGTAAAATGTCTTGAAAGCCCTTCCAAAAGTGGAATATTTGTCTTGCGCCCCTCAAGTTGTAGATAACTCCAATTTACTCCAAAACTTGTAGAATTCTCCTTATTGACTCCAAAAGAATGGAAAAACACTTGAAACAATTGAGATAGTTTTCACCCTATCCAATTGTGTAGCAATAGACTCAATCTTGAAAACTTTAATCAAATAGGCCATCCATTCAAGAACCTAAATGATTCTTCTCTCTAGCTTAATCAATGATTTTCATGGAGCACCTAGAGTCAAACTCCCTTGATACTCTTGAGCACTTATTTCCATGAGTAAATCATCTCTTTTGGTTTGAACCCCAAAATTAAGACATTCTCATCATCTTGATCATAGCTCTCTTGAACCAACTCCCTATCACATAGGTAGTCAAGATCCATCCTTTCTTCCTTGATTGGCATGCAAGGTAAACTTGGCATCCCAAAACTAGAATAAAGGACTAGTTCATTCCCCTCACTAGGAGAACCACCATGGAAGGCTATATGATTCTAATCATCCCCTCCTTCTTTAAGAGGATTCATCCTCGAATCATCAACCTCTAAACCTGCACAAGGAACAAACGAGATATAAGGGTTAGTAAAATTGTCACCCTCACCACACTCGGATTTTCTCTCATTGCGTGTATTTTTTTTCTGTTTCCATGCTTTTTTCATGGTTTTCTCTCGCATCAAGTCTTATCTTAGCGTGACCCTTTTTACTTTCTTACGTCACTCTCTCGACTTTTTCTTTCCCTTGTGCATAGGATATCTTACATCTTTTCTCTTGCAAAGACTCAGCTTCTTCATAAGCCAAAGGCTTAAGAATATATTTTTTGTCCTCTTTAGACAAAGATATTCTTTGAGCAATGCTGGACAGCATCTACATCTGATTGCCAAGGCCTACCTAGCAAAATATCACAAAGAGACATAGAAATTACATCAAAGTGAATTTCATCCCTATACTCACCAACTTGAAAAGATACCATGGCCTTCTTAGTGACATCCACAACCATCTCTTCACTCAACCATTGAAGCTTGTATGGTCTAGTATGCGGATCCATCTTGATTCCGTTGGCTATGCAAAATTTCTCCCTTATACAATCAGTACTCGATCCACCATCGATTACCAAATCAACTTAATTGAACCACCCAACCGAACACTTAGTACGGATGATACATGTCCGTTGACCACCATCTTCAACGCCAAACACCAACCCTTGACCCTCAATTGGACCATTCCAACCACAAGAAGCATCATGCTCTCTCTCCACTTCTAAGGCAGCATAATACGCCTCATAGAGCCTTTATTGCCTCCTTATCTTTGGGTGTTGTTTATACCCCTTGTCCAAGCCATAGTGGAAACGATCAGTCAACATGTAGTCGTTCTCATCTACTCCCGAACTCAGGAACACACCTTCTAACTCCTCAAAGTAAGATTGAACGGATCTATCATTCTGCTTACAATTGAGCAACTTTACTTTTGTTTCATCAAAGGGCGTTAGTACCAACATATCTTTCTCGCAAAGCATTCATCAAATTATGATCATCCAAATTATGATACCAATTATGTGAATAGATATTTGAAACTAGCTTCCACCAATTCAAAGTAATAGAACGAAAACAACCTACAGCTAAGGCTATTTTCTCACTCTCTTTCTCAAAGTTAAGCAATAGAAACAAATTCTCAATTCTCTTTTCCCAAGTATGGCAACCATAAAACAAAGGCAATGACACTTTCAACATTCTAGCATATGAGGGCATTTGTTTTACTTCAAAACGATCACATAAGACTCTCAAATTTTCAGCAATTTTCTCAAAACTTACCGTAGCTTTATCTTGCTGATTTGAAAGCAATTGAGACAAGTCTCGGTTTGCCTCCTTCACCTTGGCCAAAGCATCATGCAAGTAGTCAATTTGACTCTTCAGGAGTTGCACTTGAGCCTCAATGCGACCCTCTACACTCTTTGAAGCAACTTGAGTACAACCAGCAACTCCGGATGAAATCTTTGCTCAACAACTTTGAGAAACCACCAACAAAAGATGTAATGTGCCTTTGTTACTGCACAAAAACTTCTTGAACCCTTGAACCAATAGATGGCTCGGCTGAAACCCCCCAAGAACCAAAGGAAGGTTCGAATATTACTCTCCCCAAAAACAAAAACTCTCTTGTGCTTTTAAGGACACTAACTCTCGAAAATTTAGAATAAAAAGAAGAGTTCTTCTCTTGTTTTACCCTTGCGATCTCGGCAGCAAGAAGAAGAAGAAGAATGGAGTAGAGTGGTGTGAGAATTTTCAAAAAAAATAGCACCCCTATTTATAGGTAATGCAAGACTTTTTGTGCAAGAAAACTCCTACAAGATAGGACCTAAATTTTCTCAAGAATATTCCCCCCTTAATTGATAAAATTCAGTCAACAAGATGGAATAAGGAAGAAGAAATTCGGTCAGCTTGATAAATAAAAGAGATAGAGTCCTAAAACTTAGGTAATCATAATCCCTTTTGGACACAACTTATGAACTATGTCATAAAACAATGAAAGATTCATTCCTACTAATTAGAGACAAAAAATCCAACCCCCTACTACAAATAGGACTCAAAAACTCGGCCAAAACACAAGCACAATTTTATTAAAAGACTAAAAAATTTTCAGATTAAGATAAGACTTCCTTATCTCAATAGTTTTCGAAAATAGGCTCACTTTAAAACTCTAATTATAATCTCACTGAAATTATAATTTAACTAATGCAAAAATTAGTATTTAAATCCAAGTAGGACTCAAATAAAACACACAATAAAATTGTATTACCATTAGAAAACAAAGGCTGAAAAATTTTGGCCAATGTGAACACTTAAATCCAAGACCGAATAGGTCTCAAATCATGATACAATTTGGACTCAATGACCTTAATTTTAGGGATAAAATTTTCGGTCATGTGAACACATAAATACAAGACCGAATAGGACTTAAAGTGTAACACAAATAGACAACCAAATTCAAGTTCAACTAGGACTAGGAAACCCTAATTTTTAGCTCAAAAATTCGGTTATACTATGACTCTAAAATTCAAAACCAACTACGCTTAGAACTCCACATAAAACAGACGCATACACATGCATTAATTCAGCAAAATTTTGACAATAAAAAAAAAAAAAACCAAGAACTATGAATTCCTCAATCAAAAAAAAAAAATCTCTCGAAAATCAAACTGATATGATAATATCAATTAATACCATCACTTAGATAGTTCAAGCTCTGATACCAGAAACTGATAGCAATCTCGTAGATGAAGCAAATTTTGTTAATGCAACCATCAAACAAGAATGTACGAAAATAATTTGTCTATCCCGTGAAACTTAAAAGAGTGTGGAAAATTCACAGTAAGACGATCGTTTATCTAAGGATTTTTATCTCTTTAACTCAAACCAAGCAAAGACCACATAATCTATGAAAGATTCGAATTAAACAACAACCCACACTAAGAATAGTAAAGACACCATTCAATATACTCGATCAGTCATCATTCAAGAGACTCAAGAAAGGTAGGAGCAAACAATGCTCAACTATGAAGAAATACTATTGATAGTAATCTCCATAACCAACAACGATATGCAACATACACACTATCTCAAAATGCTTATGCCAAAGCACAACCCATCCAAAAAAAGTAGGACAAACCCCACAAAGGAACTCATAAACACGCACATCATAAACTCAAAAACCATAGCCAAAAGAAAGGCTCAACTCTCGAACTACTAGAAGTAGTATGAAAATAAGAAATTTAGTTTTAAAACAATTCTATCAAGAAGCATACTTGAAAAAGAACGGTTTCTGCAAGATCAAAATATCCAAGACAAGATGAAAACCCTCTTGGTTAAATCATACTTGACAAATGAAAAATGAACACACACTTTAACAAAAATTCCTCACAGAAAAAACTCTCATTAGAGAAGACACCATTTAACAAAAATGACCACACACGGGTGCTTTAACTTTCGGCCATACCCCCCTATTTATAGGCTAGCAATTTCAGCCAGAAGCACCAAAAAGAAGACCAACTATGACTCTCTAATCTTATCTCACGCAGGAGTAGAGTTAGAAGAGTATTTGATCTCTTTGACTCTATCTAAAATCTAGGAAACCGTATCTAAATGACTTATCCTCAAATAAGATAATACTTAGAAGGAATCAAAGACTCATAATCAAAACACTCTAGCTTAATTCAGTCCACATGACTTATTTAACTAGATAAAATTCGAAAAACTCCTAGACTAGATAATACCCTAAATCCGAACTTCAGTTCCAAATGTTGAAGTAAAATGTCTTGAAAGCCCTTCCAAAAGTGGAATATTTGTCTTGCGCCCCTCAAGTTGTAGATAACTCCAATTTACTCCAAAACTTGTAGAATTCTCCTTATTGACTCCAAAAGAATGGAAAAACACTTAAAACAATTGAGATAATTTTCACCCTATCCAATTGTGTAGCAATGGACTCAATCTTGAACACTTTGATCAAATAGATCGTCCATTCAAGAACCTAAATGATTCTTCTATCTAGCTTGATCAATGATTTTCATAGAGCACCTAGAGTCAAACTCCCTTGATACTCTTGAGCACTTATTTCCATGAGTGAATCATCTCCTTTGGTTCGAATCCTAAAGTTAATGACATTCTCATCATCTTGATCATAGCTCTCTTGTACCAACTCCCTATCACATAGGTAGTCAAGATCCATCCTTTCTTCCTTGATTGGCTCACAAAGTAAACTTGGCATCCCAAAACTAGAATGAAAGACTAGCTCATTCCCCTCACTAGGAGAACCACTATGGAAGGCTATATGATTCTCATCACGTCCTTTTCTATAGTCATCGGCTGGTGAAACTAATTTTGTAAGTAGGGTATATGTGGAAGTTTTGGTCAAAATTTGGTTCAGTTTGACCAAAAATAAAATCTTGTCTTGTGACAAAACTGGACAATAATTTTGGGACAAAGGGAGTAGTCATTTTAAAAAATGGAAGAAAACTAAAAAAACTGAAAATCAAAGGAAGTTGACCTTATTTTCCTTACCACTACTCTTTTAGATATTTAAGTTATTTCAATTCAATTAATTTTGACTTTTGTGAAACTAGATTATTTTTTTGGGACAAACTTTTTTCTTAAACTGGACTATTTTTGTGGGACGAAGGGAGTAGTAGTTTACTGAAACCAAAACAATCAAAACAAAAACTGGGAGGCTACTGAACGCCCTAATTTTTTCATTTGAGCGCCCTTAAAAACCTTAAAAAGACTATTTTTCCATTGTATTTTTTTTAAGAAAAAAAGGGGGCGGGGGGGAGAGGACGACGAATTTTTGCGCCAGCCTTTTACACGGCTGGCGCGGGAGAAACACGCCACCCTTTCACGGGTGGCGTGCACTTTTCTCGCCACCCTTCTTGGGGTGGCGAGCAATTTTTTTGCCCCTGAAAAGGGGGTGACGCACAAATCATGAGCCCCCCTCCCCTCGGTTTGACAAGCCACTCGCCAAACCGTTGGACCGCCACCATTTTTTATTTTTTTTAATTTATTTAATTCATTTATTTATTTAAGTATATTTATTTATTTGTTTGGCGGTTAAATAACTAATTTTAACTTAAATAAATAATTTTTTTAACTTAAATATTTGGAAAATGTTGTTTAATTTTGCATAATAAATTTATTATTTAATTATTTTGAATTTTTGAAACTTAAATAAAAAAATTAACATTTAATAACAACTAAAACTTATGAATTTACTACCCAAAAAAATATTTATAAATAATAAAAAACAGTAATTATTTATATATTGATGAAAAGTTATCATTTACTACTAACAAAAAAATTATCATTCTCTAAATATTTAAATTAAAAAAATATTTATTTATCATCGGTGCATCTAACCGTTCTGAGAATTTTTTTTTGAAAAAATTTAAAATAAAAAATATGAAATATAAAATACGATGAAATTTTATATTTTTATATTTCATATTTATCATAAAATAAATATAAACTACAAAGAAAAAGAACTATGAGAGAGAGAAAGGATTCGGGTGCAGTTTATTCAATAGGGACTGACCTCTGTTTATAGATAAGTAGATACAGAGATAAGATCAACGAATATGAGTTCTAACTAAACATTATTTCTATACATAGAATCCTAATATAACTCTTGTATCTAATGGACATCCACATTATTAATATATTTATAACACTCCCCCTTGAATATTCATTTCTTAGGATAATGGTTCGTTAAAACCTTTACTAAAAAAAACCCAGTGGAAGTCATGTCATCCAAAATTGGAAACCCCTCCTTACGCAATTTATTTATGTAGTTGTAGACTTGTTTGGAGGTAACATTTTCATCAGAAATTGTGTCCATATCACCCGTAAAATGTAAATTGTCTTAGTCCCAACGCTCAGTCCACTCCTAACCTGAGGCGAATCTGTCAAAGAATGATTGTGCATTCCCCACGGACTGGGATATACACGGATCGTCCATCTATCGCATATTTTGTAGACAGTAATCCAAAAGTGGCATCCGGTCATTTGTGTCTTCGTATTGGATCGGGCGCGCATGTTTTCATCCACCTGTTGACCTTGGTACCGGCCTCCTTTATGACAAATAAGTATAGTATTACTAGTGTTGTGCGAGGATATACTTAACTCCATGTTATATATATTTGCAATATCTTTCGCATATGCAATAACTTGAGACATTTCGGCAAAACTAACAACAAACTAAACATATATTTAACAAAAAAAAATTATTTCATACGAACATATTAAACTACAAAACAAATGCTAAAATAAATACATGAATTAAATAAATTAAAAAATTAGTTAAACTAATAAATTAAAATAAATAAATAAACAAATAAATAAATTAGATACATTAAAAAATTAATTAAATAAATGAAAAAAAATGGGTGGCACCCAGCCATCAGTTAGTGGCGAGGGTCTTGCTCGCCACACCGAGCACTAGTCGCGCCAAAACGGGCGCCACCCCTTTCGCCAAAGGCGAAGTTTTTTGAGATTATTCTACTCCACTCCTATGCGGGGTGGCGGCTGGCGCAATTCTTCCTTGTCTCTCTTTTTTTTTAAAAAAAATAAAATAAAGATAAAATGGTCTTTAAATATTTTTTAAGGCGTTCAAAAGGAAAAAAATTAGAGCGCTCAACAGCAACGTCTAAAAAAAAATCTTTTATATACTTAAACACACCGTCATACGGGCCTCGGCAATAGAGGAAGCAGTCCAAACTCGAGACGACGCCGTACCGAAGAGGATCATGGAGGCAGAAACAAGAAAGCGGAAGCGTTTTGGAAATCATACAATGGCTTCACATGTCAACAATCTTGACGATGGCTGTCTGATGCATATTTTCAGTTTCCTTTCCCCTATTCCAGGTAATATTACTATGATTTCTTTGTACTTTAAAGGAAACCCTAATTACTACATTTCAAGCTGAATTCTGTATTTTTCAGATAATTTTCTCGGATTTATGTTTGGCTTCGCTCTTTAGTTGTGTTAATTTTATGCCTTTGTGCCAAAAGATTATTTCTTTTGCTAATTCTTGTATATTATGATGAATAAGTTAGTTTTGTGATTAAAGAGTTTAAATTTGTTGTAACTATGTTGTTGTGCATATAGGTAATTCCATTTTTAAAGGTTTAGAATATTTTTCTGAAGTTACTTAACGCTTAGATAGTTGAAGAATTTACTTCATTACTGTTTAAGAAATGTGTGTTTGGAAGGACTGAATGTCGAGTGAATAACTATACACTATGAACTAGTTACAAATCAGGAAATCCAGAGTTAAAGAATCCTTCTTATGCTTCATACAAATAAACGGGTGTTAGATAGTGACACTGCCTGCGTGATGTAATATATGGTGTCTGTCACATGTTGCTCTTGAGTTTGCAGATCGGTATAACACCGCCCTCGTTTGCAACAGATGGCATTTCCTTGCTTGTCATCCTCGGCTATGGCTTCGAGTTGATCGTTCCGTTAAAAACTTATCTGAGCCTGGTGTCTTCCCGAGCATTGAGACTGCAGTTTCTGCCGCAAGGTGACTAAAATTCACATTTGCATGTACTTTCCAATAGGTTGTGATAATTTGTTTAAAAATATTGGATGGATGGTGTTCATCAATGATACGTAGGCCCGGAGATACCATTCTAATTGCTTCTGGTGGAAGTCATAATGCTTCCAATATTCAGATTGAAAAGCCACTTTGCTTGGTAAGTCCGATTCCGTGCTGCTTTTTTTTCTTTTTTCTTTTTTTCCCCCTTGAAACTGATTCCGTACTGCCTTTTTTGTGGTAACTCTCTGATATGAAGTTTTGATCTTGGTCCTATACTGCTATATCTTACAAGGTCTTAAGCAACTCGTAGCTTAGGTGTGTATGGATACAATTTAGAGTGGTTTTTATGTAAGATCCTACAGTTACGGCTTTAGTTCCACTGTCAAAACTGAAATGCCACTTGACTCTCCCATTAGTCCTCAGGATTATGTTTGTGACTTGCATTTTTCCAAATACCTTGTATGTCTGTTTAAACATCTTGTAGCGGTCTTTTGTTGATTGTACCTATGGAGTGGTCTTAACGATGGAATTCCTTTAAATGTAAAAGAGCATTAATATAGTCGTTCTTCGAATTTGGAACAATGGTCTATCAAGATAGGCAGATAACCCTTTTGGGGGGTCTTAATCTTGGTCTCGTGGTCTCCCAATGGGGGGAGAACTTTCTCAATGAACTACACGCATTTTTGGACGAGGTTTAACCTACACTCATTTTTGAACGAGGTGTAAACTACTTCTGTTGACTTGAAGACTGGTTCTCCCTGCTTTCTTTTGCAATCTACTGAGGCAATGGGATTAGAAGCAGAAAAGAATCATTTAATATCTATTAACTGAGTTCATAGGCAATAAGCTTTTTCCCCATGTGGTTGTTGCTAAATAAAACAATGCATTCCAGGCTAAGAATGCTAGAATTTATCTTTTTGAAACTTCATTATGCAGATTGGAGCCGGCGAACTTCCTGATGACACAACCCTGATTTGCACCCGTGGCTCTGACAGGTTTGTAACTCTTTGAGTCTACTCTTCTTCACCTCATGAATATCCATCCTCCTTTCTTGCAATGATTCCCTTTGTTGGAGTTCTGCTGAACGTAACCTTTGAGCATTTGGCTGATTGATTTGTGTGACACCAGGTCATAAAGCAGCAAAAGCTATGTTTATTTTCTTTACATACGAGGAATGTAAGGGCTTTACTACAAAAATGAAATAGTCCGGTACATGTCCCAATGTAGTTGGGGATATACTAGATATGTTGATGTTAATGTATTTTTATCGAAGGAGTGCATATTTGGGTGGAAATTAGAAAATGGCTCTGATCTACTCAATTATATTACTGTTTAGGACATTAAATCTGCATATCTAATGGTATCTAATTTCTCTTTCAGTATTTATTAGCTGCTGCAATTTTACGTCCTCTTGAAAAACTAAGTAAAAAGCCTGCCCCTTATAGGGGGATAGAGGCTAAGTTGTTGCAAATTTGGTGAAGACGATAGAATGTTAAGACAGTACTGCCAGTTTACTGAAAAGACAGTATTCGATGCCTTTGGTTCAGTGTTGGTTGCTTTTTTGCACCTTGAATTATTGTTGGAATTTCAATTGATGTCTAGTGGTTAGATGAATTCGAAGAATGATCTTAGATCTGTGCATTGATTTGCTTTTTTGGTGTATATTTATCAACCAGATGAGAGGGCGAAGCCCAACTTTAGGATGATCCAATTTAGTTGATTATCTTCATATTTCTTTCCTATTATTGGTTAGTGTATTGTTATGTACTTGGAAGTGAACAAAGTTGTCCATTTGTAAATTAAAGTAGTTTCTGACTGATTGATTCTGCTTGAAAACTTGCTACCGGCTGTTTAGACTCAATAGCGAGACCACATAATTTTGAATGGTCCCGATAGTATATCCGATATTTATTATGCTTGTTGCAGTGCACTGGAGTTCTTATCCAACTGTAAACTGGCGAATTTGACGGTCCGAACAGAGCTTGGGTGCTGCTTGCTTCATAGGAGTGGAAAGTTAACCATCGATAGTTGCATTCTTCAGTGTGAAGCGAATCCTCTTGACCATCTCTCACATGCAATTGTGAGCACCGCTAGTTCCAGTGAGTGTAATGTATCCCCATCTGCTCTAAGGAGGTGTCGTGATGCTGTTTCTGTTTCTCGAACTCGAATCGAAGGAGGTGCAAAGGCTGTTTTGACCTGTGGAGCTCTGTCATTGCAGCAAGTTCGTGTAATTTATACTCGCACTTCAGTCTTTTTCTGGTTTGATGTGGAGCATACTCAACAATGAGTACAGGCAGCTGTGATTGTAAAGTAAGTAGAATGTTTGCGGCCATTAATGGTTAGATTTGCATTTCAATTCTGTTATTCTGCAAGTTTAGTTCCTCCACTGTTGTAATTGATTCTATTGTACGATAGAATAATGAACAGATTATCACTTGCAAGCACACTGTAATTGATGCTTTGTTGACACTGGATCTTTCATATGCTGCATATAGTTCACTTTACATTCGTACTTTATGCTTGTTTCTGTTTTAAGTTTATCCTTCACTAGAGTCCAGGTTAGGTGTAGAGAGTTTCAACCCAGATGTCTGTTCGGATTATATTGAAGCTAAAATGACTGATACATAAAACATCAAGCTGATAGTATAAGAGCTGATCTACAATGTGACTTTGTACCCAGCCATTATTAGGCTGGTCTAGCGACGAATTTTGGGCCCCTTAAACTCTTCAAATCTCAACTCCATCAATTTCAGAGCCGCTTCTGATACAGTACACTTCTCAGATGTTAACAGCAAGTAGACTAAATTATTGGCATGATCTTCAGCGGTTTCTTCCATCGAGGAACTACTTACCTTTCTGTAGTCTTGAGGAGGACTGACGCTCCATTGTAGAGGCATTGGCTAAAATATCAAGTCTTTTCCTAGACAAAAGGAGAACCTCAACAATTTCAACGAATTAACTTAATTATGTATCCTTGCTACAGATGAAGATATGGACATCAGTTCCTGTAAAGATGTCGCAAATTTTTTGTTGAAAGTTTTCCGATTTTGTGGAAGTCAGCAAATTTTGGTGCATCTGGGACAACCCACCCTTCAAAAGGAAGTTGGAATTGATCATCTCTGACGCCCTTGGCCAAGTCTATATTACAAAACCCAACACTCAATTTGTAAATAAAACCCAACAATTACGAAAAGTGCTGAAAAGATGCTTTAACTGCTCAAAGTGTGTTGTGTCACGAGTTGATGAGATTGCATTAAGGAAAAGTTTCTGCGATTTGCTGCTTATCCTTACTAATCCCACCAGCTACAGTTGTTAACGTGATCAATTATCACGTTAGCAACTCTAGCGAGCCCATAATCCAGAACATCAACTGCATCCATTGTGCCCCAAACTGCATAGGGCTACATCTTATTATTTCCATTCCCTGTAAACAAACTCTCCACTTAAATGGCAATGCTCACCCGCTAAAATAGCACAGCACGATCCATTGACAGCACTAGGGTGTCTTTCTTCTCATCGAACAATAAGTGTCCATGCTTTTAGAAGCATGCCATACAATGGCAGCCTGCATACGCTCTCACAACAATCTTCAGTCCACTCTGGATTGGCAAGATCTAACGTAGTCATGGAGTTCCAATTTGATGTTTGATGCGAACAGAATGGACCAGAAAGCAGTCAAACAGAAGAGCTTTTGTAGTCATGAACTTGTGACCCTATTTCCATAAACTGAACTCATCCAATCTAGAACATAGTTTGTGCATTAAGTTGGTGCCCCAAATCAATTTTAGAATCAATTTAATAGCACCAATGTAATTAAAAAATGGATTAGAATTGGCTGAGGTTTAATCCAGTCAATCATGATCCTCGTTCGCACATTTGATCAATCTAGTCGATGAATGTACTATTTCATTTCAATCGAATTAACAATTAGGATTTACAGATCACCATAAATGCAATGCCTATCAACTTCTATTATGTTTTTTTAGGAAATGCAATCATTTCAAGTGAAGCATACAGAATATACTAGTACAAAATGCACAAAGACTAACCCATTGATATTGGGTAGTAAAAATCATTAATCAACACCCCATGAAATCACGACTATTGTATTTACACAAGTGCAACTACATCAGGGTTATAGCTACTGTGTCCACATCCAACACTGACCGTAAACCTCAGCTGGGCTCCAAATTGCCACTTGTATTTGACCATTCAAGGAAGATAAAATAACAAGGTGGAAGAACAACAACAAATGTAGGCTTAGATGAACCATATGCTGCTAATGTATTCGTCAAAACACAATAACTCCCCACATTCTAATATTTCACATTTCTTTCAATTCTCAATGAAGGAAATAAAAACAAAACAAAAAGAGCAAACCTCTATAAAAAGATGTATCTTAATTTTTAATCTACTGGCTCCTGGTTATCCAAGGGCTTGGTATTTCCAACTTGCGGCCGAATCGTTGCTGAAACCAGATGATATTTAATTTAATCTCAGGGTTATAGATAAACATGTGAAAAAACAAACATGGATAAAAAGAATTCAATGTTGACGCCGGTAAAGAAAATGTACACTCAAAAAGTATGTCACATAGTTTAAAATCAAAAGCAAGGGAAGGAAAGAAATCAAAAGAAGACTTGACACTATCACCAAAAAGATGCCAATCTTTGCTTTTCCTTCCTCTATATTCATCTAACATCCGTTCCAATCAAGTGTACCTTCTCAAAATTTGCCAAAAATCCAAATCCAAAATAAAAGTAGTTATCTGGCCCCATATTTTTTCTGAATAAACACTCGAGTACACACATACTAAAAAATGGAAGGGTACATTGGAAAATGAAAACATTATGATGCATTAAACCTTATTTTACAGAATGAGCACAAATAAAGGTAACTTTGTAGCAATCTGGTAATAACACAAATGATTAAAACAAAGGGCTTACATCGCAAGGACGATCCAGCAAGACAAGTCAGCCTGGATTTTGTTTCACTCTCAGAAAGCGGGCTGCTCTTATAAGTCATGCGAACATCCCAAACACGAATGACACCATCAGAAGAAGCAGATGCTACTATACATGGAGAATTTTTATATGCTCCGCCATCACTTTCGGAAAGCACAACAATACCCTTAACTCGGGCCGAATGTGCATCTTCAATAGAATATGCAACTTTACCGGAATTGGTATCCCATGCTATAATACTTCGATCCTCTCCACCAGTGAATAAAATTCCATTCTGCCCACCACTATCACATTAGCTTTGAAAACTCAATGAGAGATAGTTTCGGAAACATAGACATGTAAGTTTTCAGCATACAACTTCATTTGTATCAGTAAGATGTACAGCTAATCAACGAATCAAAAGCATGTAACAAATACAAATGAAAAAGGGGGACAAGGGGCTATTTTGCTTATTACAAAAGTGAAAGAAACACCTTACATAAGCACTTGACATAAGCACTTCAATTCAATATAAGCTCTAAAACTGTGGGTAACAGAAATGATGTTTGGATTAGAAATAGTCGGAGAAATCCATTAATCCTATATAGCTGGACAAACTAAGTCTTCACATAAGTTCTATGACTCTCAAAGTAGCTGTCCTGCCAAAAGCCAGCAAATTTGAGAATCTTTCTTAATTATAGCCTAAATGAGTGAGTTCAAAAAGTAAAAAATCCAAATATTCATCCATAAGAGAGACATGACCCAAAAACAAAAGGTAAGCTTTCAATCATATTCAGGTACAAGACAGATTGAGAAGAAAAGAACAAATGTAAGGAGGCGTTTGTTTAGCCGGAATCGGATTCAGGATTCGCTTTGCTGTTTGGTTAGCAGGTATCGAAGGATTTGGATTCAGATTCGATTTTTCAATCCTGGCTCCCCCCTGGGATTCAAATCTGAATCCATGAATTCAAGTTTTTTTCCTTTTTCCTTCTCTATCGTTCCCCTCTTCTCTCTCTCTTGCAATTTTTTTCATCGTCTCCTACCTCTCGATTCTTCCACCATGGATGTGCCCATCAACAATTGAAACAACCCTACCCAAATTCAAGTTCAGAACTTCAGACCCACCATCAAATTCAACCAACCAAATTCAAATAATTTCAACAATTTATAAACAATAATTGAAACGCACCAATTATGGAATCTCTTTGACAGCTCGATCCGAGTTTCTCATAACTCTTTGATGGGTTAATTTAGGTGGAGGATAGGGTGGTTGGCGAAGATGGATGGTGGTCATCGTTTCGGCCACCAAGCTTCCCGATTAAATTCTAGTTTAGATGCTATTGATTATGATTATAATTTATACAGTCTGATTTAGGGGTTGAGTTTCTTCTTTTCCTTTTGCGTTCTTTGTCGAATATCGAAAAAATTGAAACAATAATTGAGCCATTGCATAACAGAGACGCGGGACAGGGCTGAGGTGGGCGGTGGGAAGAAGAGAAGCAGAACGTTAGGCAGATGGGCGGTGGTTGGGGGTGGGAAGAAGAGGAGCAGAACGTAAAGAAGAGAGGAGAAATGGAAAAAGAGGAATTCTTTTTTTAACATTATAATAATAGAATCCAATATCCTAAACCAAACACATTATTTGGATTCATGAATCCGTGAATCCGCGAATCCAATCCGCCATCATTCAAATCTGTTTCCTAATCCATTTCCAGGTGACGAAACAAACGCCTCCTAAGCAGATATTATAAACTGATTTCAATCAGAAAACCAGTAAACTTCGGGTATTGCTGAAATACTTGGCACTGTAAAGGTAAGCCACCTGAGAACTAAAAGATAAAATCAAGAACTTCAAATCCAACTTCAATTCAGCTTCTTAATGCAACATCCATCAGAAAAAGGCAGTTTAATCTCCAACTATTTTTCCCATCACAGAAGAGTCTCCATACGAATAAAATTTCCGAAATATCACTAATAATATGACTATGGATGCACCCGATTATAAAGGAAGGCACAAGAAAAAAAAGTTAAACAAGACAATGTGAATATATATTTTTTTTTAAAAAAAAAACATAAATCAGTCATAGTCACCTTTGACTCATTTGCCAACTACAATATATCCATAAAATATAAGAAGTAAAGCAGAAATATAGACCCAACAAAAACCTTTATCCGGGTTGAAGTGTGTTCATTCCTGATCATTGATCAATCAAATGTATTATATTCCTTTATCTAATTATACGCGGGTATGTTTTAAATAACTGAAATCACTGCAATAATAGCTCATGTTGAGATTAAGAAAGAAAAATAAGAAAATGGCAGAATCTTCAGTTAACCAACAAATCAAAATTACAAATTTTTATGTTTCTAAAAGGACAGAGGCTTAGATCGAATCAATAATAGCATGAACAAGTGAAAATATCAGGCAGTTGCCTTTCAAACTACTATCTTTAAGCATGTTCAAAATATCAAAAATGTGTTTGACCTAGTAGGTCAACACAATACTATGATCCAAACAAAAAGCTTCCTTATGCTCAATAGTGGAAAAAAAAAAAAAAAAAAAAACTTGACTGTTGATAATATTCACACACAATGGATGCATGGTATCTAAGGTCAATATAAGTTTAGAAACAAAGCGATATCTCTGTTAAATACCATCCTAACTAACACGGACAAATAGCCTTCCTAAAACCTAACTCGGATCTATGCTGTACACAATGAACCCAATATCAGAACTCATAGCTATAAAACCAAATCACAGAGGGTTTGCAATTCAATGCCATTTAAAGGTAAAACTACAAACATCACATGTGTGCATCACATCACTAATACACATATAGATGGGGTTGAAATAAATCAAATTTCAGAGTGCCAATATCTGTTAAGAAGTTCTACACATTTTTTATACCACAACAACGGGAAGAAAATTGCAAAGGACAAACCAAATATTTTAAGCTTAAAAGAAAGGGAAACAAAAGAAAAAGGCCTTACTGATCCCGAGGCAGCACAAAGGACCCGTTTCTTGCTATCTAATTCACAGAATATCTTAGCATCCTCGGATTCATGAACGCTGATTTTATCATCCACCACCATAAAGAACTTGTCCCCACCATCACTAAACCTGACAATGGAAGCTTCCTTCCCCAGCCTACAACAAAAACTCCTCCTCCCTCTGACTAAATTCACCATAGCCAAGCATTCATCGCGGCCGACGGAGAGAGCAAGCCTTCCAGATGGATGAATAGAAATATCATTCACCCCCTTTTTATGCACATTCTTTACCGTTTTCAAATGAACAAATGGGTCCGCATCGTAGATTATGACAGCGCCGTCCTCGGCGGCGGCTATAAGGTTCCGAGGAAGAGAAATGGGGGAGGAAGTAGGGGTGAAAAAGGAAAGGGAGGTGATAGAGGAAGTGTGGTGAAGTGAACCGATTTCGGAGTAGGTTGAGAGGTCGTAGATTTTGATGGTATCGTCGGAGCCGCCAGTGACGGCAGCAGAACCGGCAACAGCGGCACACTTAATCGGGGAGAGGTGAGAGGGAAATGAAAAAAGTGGAGTGAGGGAGAAGGATTCAGAGTGCTTTTGGGATTTCAGTTTGAAACCCCAAATAAAACGTTCATATGAGCCTGCTACTAGACTCATTCTTTTTGGTCGCCGGCGGAGGAGAGAAACAACAGGAAATTATCACCGGCGGCTGGGAGTCAGTTATAGGAAGAATTGAGATGAAGACTGCAAGAATAAGAAGAGATTAGGGTTGGGAAATTGGGGGTCGAGAGAGGTTTAGGGTTTAGGGGAAGGGAAGAACAGAATCTATCAACTTTACTGAATTGCTTCTCCCAGTTCAGAAATTACTCACCTATAATTCATTTTTTATAATTTTACCTCTGAATTATTTTCTTTCTTCTTCATTTTTCTCCTTTCCCATCTCTTCTTCTTTCTCTTTTATTCTATCTTTTTCTCCTTCCTCCTTTCTTCTTCTTTTTCTAATCTAAATCTACTAATAATTGGACACTAAAAAATGGTAGAATGCGACCGTCAACAACATAAAAGCTCACCATAAATACCGGTAATTTTTTTCCAAATTCTATTTTAAAAAAAATTTAAAAAAAAAGTTACTGCCCAGGCTGGCCGACCCGAAAGGTGGCTAGTCCGGGAACCTTGGCCGGATTTCTCACCGACCAAGGGGTATCGATTGGCCTGGTCAGGGACCGACCAATCCTTGAAGAGTGACCGGTCATCTAGTCACTCTTTTAATTTTTTTTGTTGTAATTTTTTTATAATTATTTTAATTAAATTATTTATAATTAATGTAATTAGTTATTGAGTGTTGGGTTATTAGTTGTAATTAATTTAATTAGATTTTTATTAATTTATAATGAAAGGGAAAATTTTAATTATATTTGTAATTAATTTAATTATATTTGAATCTATGGAGTATAAATTTAACCACTAATATGTATAATTAATTTAATTGAATTTATTTTAATTTATATTTGAATCTTTATGTTTAGGTATAATTTAATATGTATAATTAATTTGATTGAATTTATTTTAATTTCTATTTGAATAATTATTGTAATGGAATATTTATATATAATATTTAATGTGGGTTAAGAGGATAAATTAATTAGGTATAATTTATTTAATTGAATTTATTTTAGTTTCTATTTTGATTATTGTAGTGGAGTAGTTATATATATATTCATTAATGTAGGTTCAAATGAGAAAAAAGAAAAAGCCAGATGTACCTGATTCTTCATTATTGCTTGAGTCGGGTACACGCGACATGCATGATCGAGTTATTTTTGCCTCATATCGTCGTGGAAGTCCAACTGGGTAAGTCAAAGGGTGAGCCGCAGATGGGTCAGGCCAGTAGTAGTTTGGGACTTGACGATATATTTAATCATGCTAGTTTGGACTTACAGAATGTGATTGACAATGATGATGTCCCGACTGAAGATATCGACTCGCAAGGGTTTAATGATTTCGTAGGGACTCACCTCCACATTCACCTCCAGCTAGATGAAGCAATGTTATTTGTCTTAGAGTTAGAGGACTTGGAGCTATATCTGCATCAGTTTCTGCATCTATATCATCATCAGCAGGTAAGTGTATGGGGTTTTTATTTTACATTTTAGTAGTTAAGTTTTTTCAAATATTTTATGGGAAAAAAATTGAATGATTTGTTTACGTTAATTTCAGCGAGTAATGCCCAGCCTTGGGTTTTCACGAGACCAGTAGTTGGTGGCCCTCATGACGGTTCTGTTATTCCCAGTTTTCTTGGTCATGTGGCCCATCACTTGATGGATAAGTCGTACAAACCCTCCTTGGAGATGGATACAAGGGTCACATACTTCAAGTTGTTGAAAGAATGGAAGGGTTCTATGTCGACTGAGGCTCAGATCTTGTTGGCTGATATAGACTATCCCACATCGTGGACATCATGCACACTAACATTGATAAGGCATTGATTACAGCATTTGTAGAGAAGTGGCAGCCGGACACCAATACGTTTCACATGCCTTTTAAGGAGATGACCATCATGTTACACGACGTGCGACAGATATTGGGTATTCCCCTTGAAGGTAGATTGATTACAGCATAACCTGGGACTGTTGATTGTAAGACTTTGGTCATAAGGGCGCTGAGAATGACTAGCCAGAAGCTACAAACTAGTAAAGTAATCCACGGTGGAGGGTTCAGTCGGGCCTTGTTGTGAAGACAGGCCAAGCGGCAGGGCGTACTTTAGATCAGGTGACCGCCTGGTTATGGGTCATGTTAGAGAACGCATTGTTTACCGACAAGAGTGGGACTCGAATTAGAGCGGCGATTCTCTCCGAGTTTATTGATGGCCTAGTCACCTGTGGCAATATTTTGTGGGGGTCTGCTACTCTAGCCTATCTCTACCGTCAGCTAGGCGTTTCCACCAGATTGAAAAATGCCTCAATCTCTGGTTGCTACACACTAATTCAAGCATGGATATATGTGTACTTTACATGTTTCAGACCACCTTGGGGCGGTTCCTTTGAGGATCCTGACCGACCTCAAGCTGGATGGTAGAATGTCGCAAATCCTAATAACAGTCCAGATCGTCTGATGCACCTTTGCAGCCAGATCGACAAACTGACACCCGATCAAGTACGCCACTTTTCCCACTTTTAATTAATAATAGTTATGCAAAATAATGTTATTAACGTATCTTATATCTTTTGTGTAGGTTGAATGGTTGCCTTATGGCCCCGATCCTGTTTCCGATGATCCAAGGACCATATACAGTGGCTGAATACAGTACCAAGATATTATTGAGCCATAGTTGCCTAGTCGAGTATTGTGTCAGATTGGATACATCCAGGTCATCCCCTCTACCCATTCCTCATCCCCTGAGTGCAAATCGTAGTGGTAATCACCACGCCTACAAGGTTTCATGGAGGCCCACTTAGGCATTTGATGCTTTGATGCACTTCCCATTCAGTACCGGGCTGGATCTAGAGTATTTTGAGCGGAGTGATCATGATAAGACTACAAGGTTGAGCATCATCACTTGGGCCCGAATCAGGTGTCGCACTTGTAAAATTAAGTCTGCACCAAAAAGGGTGGAGGTCGGTAACTATAATAGGCACCTGCAACTCCCTTTTTTTGTTTAAGCTCACATGCGCATGGGATTTCATGGGTCGTTCTCAACACACAACCACAAACATGATCCTCACCCAATTACTGCATGCGAATATACTCACTTTGAAGAATGTCCAAACAGTAATGTGAGATACGTCTAAGTAGACTGTCATACGAAAACTGAAGGTGGTCTCTCCTCGAACGGTGTTCTGATTCGGTTAGACGGTACCTACATTTTAAATTCCTCACTGTTAATATAAGAACATTGGTAATTAAGTATTAAAAACAATGAATGAATTACGTACTTGATCTCAGTTAACTGATACTCGATCGCTGCGTGGATTCTGGTCCATATTGTAACTAGGTGACTGGTCGCCGAGTCAAGAAACCACTTCATGGAACTATGGGCACTCTCCACCCTACAATTACTTGTGTTTCCAAGATGTGTGACCCCATTTGTCCATGCACGAGCCCACTTCTCCTTGTGAACTAGCCAAGTGGACTTCACATAATGCACCAACTCTCCATAACTTTTTGAATTTGGGTGCCTGTAGTACGGCATATTAATCACAGCCATTTCATGAAGGTACTCAGTAGGAGCTTCAAGTATCGGATCGAACATCTCCTTCTTCCACCAGTTTGCGAATTTCTTTCTAAAATGCCGCCGTGCATTTTAAAAACACATTTGTTGATGTGCCACACTCACAGAAGATGTGCAGAATCTGGAAATATCAAACTGATTGGTTCTGCTAGCCCTAATTCCCTATCTGTCACTATAGCATACAGATGCACCTCCCATCCAATCATATCCCGAAGCTGCTGACATGCCCTAGTATAACTCTCCTTCTTCTCATCCTTCATAATTACGTATCCAATCAAAAAATTCTTATTGGTTAGAGTCATCCCAATAATTTGTAACAGTGGCATACCTGTTTGTTTTATAAGTAGTATCCATGCCAATATACCACGGGTATGCTCGGATCAACTCTACAGATACTGGACGTACACAGAAAATATGACTCAACACACCTTTCATTTGCCATAGTAATCACATACTTGTGTTGCTGAGTAATGTCAAAGAAGTGATCCACCAACATTTTACCCCTCCTCTTTTCCACTTGCATCCTACTCTTATAGTTGTATATCTGTTTGATCACAACGTGCTCGCCCGGGCATTTCTGCTGAATCGCCCGCAGCATTGCAGACGGTTTTACATTAATGGTAGTCAACTCGTCAACAATCGCCTTCGATTTATCACTAAGACCGCTATCTGCATCTGTCCCTCCTCGAAGCTGCCAAACGGGTAGCAGCGACCTAAAAAGAAGAAACACTGTAGCAGCGACCTAAATATTAATTAACATAACAAGTATCACAAAATTGGAAACAAGAACTAAATGAACAATGATCCATATCCTAAGTAAACAACAACAGCCAACTAGGACAAATCAGGTTTCTAATCATCTGAAGCCATAATCGATTTAATAAGCAGGACCACCAGCATAGACCAAATGCAAATCATTACAACTGAACTAGCAATATTTACTTTCCACATAGAACTACCACAAATAAAGAATGAACAATTAAAAATCTGATCATTAGAATCTGATGTGGATATCTTAGACGATCAAGCTCAAGGGTATCAAGATATTTAACTGCATATTCAGGTTTAAACTCAATGAGTGATTCAAGATCTATTATCTAATAATGGAGATCCTATGACAAGATCCTGAAGGAAGAAATGAAGAAAGTGAAAAGAAACGTGCAAAAGAAGGGGAAAAAAAGAAGGAAAATTTATACAAGAAAAGAAAAAGTAGGGAAAAAGAATTTTTATTTTGTTGCTTGTGATAAGGGCTTTTTCGCGAAAAAGAAATTTGAGATCCATTAGGTTTTGTATTTGAATTGGTTTCCTAAAAAGAAAGGAACCCAAATTGTGTTGGATGTTTTTTTTTTTTATCAAAAGATTAGGGTTTCTAAAGGAAAAAGAATTCTATTGTTTTTCTGATTTTGCTTTGACCGAATAGAGTTTGCAAATTACCCCTAAATTTGTGTTTGAAGCTAGGGTTTCAAATTTTTCCCTTTCTTGCTTTGACCGAGAACTAGGGTTTTGAAAGGTGTACTTAAATTCAAAATCTAGTATCTTTAGGTTCTCTATGCGAGATTGCTAAATCTTATTTGTAACTATCTTGATCTAAATTCTTGTTCACCTTAGATCTAGTTGTAAATAGCTTGTCTTTCCTTGGCTTCTAGTTTCTTTTTTCTTTTTCTTTTTTTTTAAAAAATTTATTGCTTGTTATTCTTGTTGTACTAAGAATAAATTACAAGGACCTTGGTAAGAAAATAGTCAATCTATCCCTTACTAAATTCTAAACATTTTGAAGTGATTTTGGGGAGTGAATAATATAGTTA